GCTCTTGATGATGATTTTGACTTTGATAATCCGGATAATCTGCTTGAAGATGATTTTATTCTTCAGGCTAATAAGCCAAGAGAAGAGGAAGCGGGAATGGATATACAGTACGTGTGGTTTATTTCAAAGCAGGGATAACCCGATTGCCGCTGCTTTAATAGGATAGTAACCATAGAATGTTACAGCCGAAAAAGACATTCCAAGACTGGAGTCTGAAAATTCCGTATTTCAGAGCAGACGGTGTGAGACTGTCATTCTTAACAAACCATCAGTAGGTGGGGCTAAAGTCCAGGATGCCTGGCTGCTGGCTGCTAGCTCATTACTTTTCCAGTCGTGCCAGACCGGTCAGGCAGCACAGCTGTTCTGCCTAAACAAGAGTCCTCCCTGAAACATCCTCAAGTTTTCTTCGTGTAAAGTCATTTGGGTCTGTTCTTTTTCAAGTTGTTTTGGCAGTTAATTGATGATCTGACTTTAGGAAATCGGAGGCCGAAGATGGCAGTGAGTGGGAAGATGCTGGTGACGGGAAGGAGGGAGACGACGACGACGACGACCGTGACTATGACTCTGCAGGCTCGCTATCGGACGAGGCTGTGTCCGCCCCGGGAGGACCTCTTGGGGCCCTAGAAGGTCACTTGTTCTGGGAAGAGGAAACGAAAAGCCGCTTTACCGACTATTCTATGACGTCCTCGGTCATGAGGAGAAATGAGCAGCTGACCCTCCACGATGAACGGTTTGAGAAGGTGAGGGCCCCGGCCAAGGGCCTCTTAATGCTCTTAGTACTTGATACTGGAACCCAGAGCTAGAACTTGCAGCTTTAGAAGCAGCCTGTAACTTTTTTAAAACAGACCACCTTTAATTTTGGGAAGAATGCATATAGGTCAAAAGATGGCCTATTAAAACCCCTGGCTTTCCTCTTAGAATGCTGACATTTTGATTTCAAACCTCTTCAGTCACAATCCCCCAGATTATGCTACTTCCTCAAGCATTAGCCTGAGCATAAACAAAATTCCATTTCTTTCTGTTGTGTGTGTGTGTGTGTTTGCTCACCAATATATCCCAAGGCCTCAAGTATTATCTGGCATGTGGTAGGAGTTTAACCTTTGAACTGTTCAGTACATGATTGATGGAGGAATGAATAAATGGCTTCCTAAGATAAAGATTCTAACTTCGCTGCCTTTCATTTAGTACCAGCTTCCATTGCTGCTACTCAACGAAATAGGCAGACTTACTGTAATAACCTCACTTCAGGGGTTACATCACCCCTGCTTATTACTCTTTCACAAAGCCTGACAATGTGAACAGCATTTGAAATAAACATCATCTAAACAAACAAACAAAAAAGTGAAATTTATACATTAGTTTGCATAGTTAATGAATTCGAAAGCATCTGTGAAATATTCTTAGGTAAAGATTTCTGCCTGGTGTTTTGCTCTCCAGGCTAAATGGAGAACTGCCTTCACGGTCACGTTCCAGGGAAGCCCCCCGTCTGCAGTCTTACAGAGCTGGGCGGAACATCTCCCACACCGTGCTGTTGCGGTGCCGAGTCCCTTGTAATGCTTTAGTGGCAGTGGTGACCTCGTGGGAGGACTAAAGTTAATGTAAAAAAAAATAACATTAAATGCTGTATTCTTAATACATTCATTTTCTTGGTATCTTTTCTCTTTATATTCAAGTTTTACGAGCAATATGATGACGATGAAATTGGAGCTCTGGATAACGCCGAACTGGAAGGTTCCATTCAAGTTGACAGCAGTCGCTTAGAGGAAGTTTTGAACGACTACTATAAAGAGAAGGCAGAGAAGTATGGTGACTTGTCCTGGCTTACCTGCGTTTTTTTCATGTTCAAGTACAGTAATTGTACACGTGAATCGAAAATCACCCAGTCAGAATCCATCTTAAGACGATGGAACATTTTCCATAGCCTTTGGCTCACATTTTGATGCTAAGAGTTCTAAAGGTGAACATAACAGTGGGCGGGAACATACAGAGAACCACTGTCTCTATACCTTGTCCTGAGAGTAAAGGTGGAATAACTGAGGGTTAGAATGGGAAGTCCAAGGTCACATTCCACTTGAGAATGAGATGATGCTTCTAGCCTCTTTGGCGGAAGAATTCTTTGACTTCTAAGATCAAGGGTACATACTCTTAATCTTCCTGATATGCCAGGCGTTCTGAGAAGTACATATTTAAGGCTTATAGAAAGATAAGAGTTTGTCTATCCAGCTGGATTAGTAGAAATTTCTAGCCAAGTATTTGGTGAATCAGCGTCCACATTAGGTGATTTCTCTGAGACGCTAATGAGGTGTTTACATCTGCTAGAAAGGTCTGAGGTTCTGTGATCACTGTCATATGCTGACCCTACAGCAGGATAAGAGCTACATACTTGGAGTGAATTACCTGAATACTTTGAAGAGACAGATGGGCTAATGCTTTTCACAGCTTTAAAAAAGATTATGTTTTAGGAAAGCAGCTATTTTGTTTAATGCGTTATATCCTTGCAAAGATGCAGATAGATTTTCCCTTCCTGTCAGCAGACTGCATGTTCAGAACCTGCTGGAAGGGAGAGGCGGGGCTAGATAAAGCTAATTTTGACAGGAAATGACACGTAGGACACTTGAGTGTGTGGATTTTTTAGAATGCTTTGTTTCCGTAGTTTGTGAAGTGCAGGTTGAGGAACACGCAGCATGGTAACGGGCAGTGTGCTTTGTTCCCCTCTTGTCTGCACCCTTGAAAACGTCACCGGAAGCTGTGTGAGGCTGAGCGCGCTCGAGCCCTTCGAGGACCAGGACCTCCCCGAGAATGAGCCGGACGGGTCTGAGGAGGAGGAGGTTGTCACTGTAGTTCTTGAAGAAGGCAAAGAGAAGTGGGATTGTGAATCCATTTGTAGTAAGTATCTTAGGGTCCCCTTTACTGCTAAAAGTTTGCCAGTAATTTTAAAGTATTAACAAGTACATCAACTTTTTGAAAGGGCATATGTTTTCTGAAAATTTGAAAAAAATATAAGTTATAAACAATATAAAACCATTTATAACAGAGACTTCAGTGTTAATTTGAACTGCAAAAGCACTGAAGCTGCCCTGGCTGCTGTGGCTCAGTAGAGTGAATGCTGACCTGTGAACCAAGGGCCCCTAGTTCGATTCCCAGTCAGGGCACAGGCCTGGGTGGCAGGCCACATTGGGAAGCACACAAAGGGCAACCGCACATTGCTGTTTCTCTCCCTCTCTCTCCTTTCCCCTCTCTCTGAAAATAAATAAATAAAATCTTTAAAAAAAAAAACCCCCACTAAAGCTGGGAGTATGGTAGGAACCCTTTTGCTGAACTGAAAGTGTGCTCACTTGATACATGATTTTTTTTTTTTTTTAGGTACATACTCAAATTTATATAACCATCCACAACTTATCAAGTATGAACCGAAGGTAAGTTCTCATGTCCTGAGCTATGTGGAATCTGCAGTGCAGGCAAGGAGGTGTACAGATTATTTTCTCATAAGTGGCTTTATCTCTAGTGACTACCAGTGCCGCTAGGAAAAGCAACAATAAAGTGTCATAAGTGAGCTATTTTTTAATAGGAATGAGGAATAACCCTAATGCCATTTCGTCTTTATTTTAGCCCAAACAAATCCGCATATCTTCTAAAACAGGAATACCTCTCAACGTCTTACCTAAGAAAGGATTCACAGCAAAGCAGGTCGAACGAATGCAGATGATTAACAACAGTGATCTGCCCAAGGTGTCAACCCAGCCACGCTCTAGAAATGAAAGCAAAGAAGATAGAAGAGCAAGAAAGCAAGCGATAAAAGAAGAGCGCAAGGTAAAGAAAGTACTCCTCTCAGATGTGAGATTTACAAAGAGTTGGTGGCAGGGAGGTCATGGGAATTTTATTTTAAAAAATTAGCCTGCATCGGTTTGAAGATTTGAATAACAGGAACATATTCTTGTACAGGAACGGAGAGTAGAGAAGAAAGCTAACAAACTAGCCTTCAAACTGGAGAAAAGCAGGCAGGAAAAGGAGCTGCTGAACCTGCAGAAGAACGTTGGGGGTCTGAAGCTCTGACAGTGGCACTTCCAGGGTCGGCGCATTCCCCCGCGGGCTCCTCGTCACGTTCAAGGGTGACTGAGGCTCTTCAGAGACAAAATGATCTGCCGTTTTTACTGGCACATACTGAAAAGAAAACAGTACAGTATTTGTATTTATACAAGCAAGTTTGTAAATATTGTAATATTTTGAAATTTAATATGATAAGCTTAGATTTGCTCTGGAATAAATGACTTTATGAATGCGAAATGTGTGGAGAAATTAACTAAACATGTCTTCATAATGTAAGTGGAATTATGTTCTTCCTTTATTTATATGGTTGTCCCCGTTGCCTTTTGCAGATGTTGTCAACTATTTCTTTGAAATCACTCCTTTTCAGTAGTTAAGTGGTTTAATTTGCAGTACATAGAAAAGTGGCCCATTTAAACTAATTTTGAAATGCTGATTGTGAAGAGTTTTTCTGAGAAGTTTCCACTGGTAGGAAGCTGGTGCAAAGGTTATTTCCAAGGGATGGTAAAACTTAATAGGTTGTTAGGACCTAATTGCTGGATGACTTGCTTTTGGAATTTAGGGACAGCGAAGTCAGGAAACAAAAGAAATAATCAAAAAATTTCCTTGGCTTCAGTAAGTACCTGGCTCATAATCAGAAGTATTTCCTTCAGTTTAAACTAGAAAGTTTGTCTTTTAAACATTATTTAATGCTTGGAACCATTTATACTTGGTTAAAATACATCTTTGAAAACTCCCAGCTTTTTTGATGAGTTGGGTTTTTCTTTTTTTTCTTTACACATGTTCAAGGCTAAGGCAATGACACCATCACAATTGTTAATTATTTGGTAAACTGTGACTTCCTTGAAATAGACAAGTTGTTAGTGACCCTCGTTCATGTGTCCATGACTAATATGTTATCTGGACTGTCCAGGAAGAGAAACCTGTGAACACTGTCGGTCTGAGTGGGGAACAGAATGGCCAGGCCAGAACCATTTTTATCAGGTGAGCTGTCTTCATCTGTGATTCATGTGATTATGGCTTTCCCGAAGTTGGTGTTATCTTGTTCTCTGTGTTACCGATTTTAAGTCTGAGTAATTACTGTAGGAGTTTTAAAAGTTGTGAAAAGCGGTAGCATCATGTGCTCTACCAACATTGATACAAAAAACTTGGCTGAGGAGCTTGTCGTTACAAATGCTTTAGGTACACACTCTGCAGCATGGTCGAATGCTGGGGAGTGTGTATTTAAATGCTAACCTGCAGAAGCAAAGGGTCAGACGATGGTTGATGATAGTATTGGGAATGTATTGAATCCTAAAAGAACGGACTATTATTTTGGTAGTTAATCTCAACTGAAGGTTCTCAAAACCAGCAAGAGTCTTATAGATGTGGAATGTTACTTTGAGTTGGTGCTATTCAGTTTCATCTCAGGAGCTTGTATAGTTTCATTGCATCTTACCCAAAGGGTTTTAATCAGCACAGCACATTTTTTGCATTTAAGAGAATGTGACTATAAGCCACGAGTCTTGGTGAAACATACTGTGGTTTAGGTTAATTATCCTCCAGATTTAAAGATCTTAACTTTATTCCAGGGAACAAATTCTTACACAATATTGTGATTTATTTCACAACATTCTGGAATATTTATGATTTGAGTCATCTACAAACAGTGATTGGGAACTTAACATAAGCCCTATACTAAATGTTGGAAGTCTAAAGCGATAAAGGGGGATTTGCCTTCAAGGACTGCGTCATCTGAGGAGGCAGGGTGTGTGCAGCGAAATGCAGCCGCCAGTGCCAAGTCACTGACACAGGAATCACTCGGAACGAGAATCTGGGCGCTCGCTGTTCCCCCTGGAGTGCTCTTACTGCAATAAACCCCTCACGGATGTGCTCAGTTTCCACTTGCCCCTAAGCTTCTCCCTGACCGTGTGTTTAAAATACAGTACACACACACCCCTGCCTGTGTTCTTCATGCTCCTGCCTGCTGTACGTTCTTGGTAGCACCTATTGTCACCTGAGAGAGTGTTCATTCTCGCTAAAACTGAGGGCAGGGAACTCGTGGTCACCACTTCATCTCCGGCTCTGGAACAGTACCTGGCTTTTGATAAATGATCATTAAGTAGTATGTGCATGAATGGGTAAGACTTTTCAGAAAAAAATGGCTTCAACTTAGAGGGAACAATGGGAAATAGTCTTGATATTAGCAAGGAGAAAGAAGGCCTAAGTCATCCCAGGTAGGGGGCAAAGTGAATTTTCTTGTTTTATCTTAAGGACTGTCCATGAGTGGTATAAAATCACTTTTTCATATATTTTAGAACTCTTACAAATCGAAGTAAGTATCCAAAACAAATGACCATTCCTGTATATGACCTAGGATGCATTGTATACACACCTCCATTGTGATGTCATCAAATCAGGTCTCAAATCAGGACTCAGGACAGGACTCTTACCTAGCACCTGTAACTCTCCTGTTACATTACCCATGCTTCAGTACTTTTGTTGCTTCTTCTGTGTGTTGACATTACTATGTTTTGTCCAGCTTGTTTGTTCCCATTAACACAGGAGAAGATAAAAACTCCAATGGTGAGGCATCACGCTGTAATTGTGAAACTTACAGAAGGATTTATAATGAACACCTACTATTCAAGTTAAGAAATACAACTTGCAAGTCTCACGCGGGTCCATCCTCAAATTCATTCCACTCTCCTCTTTTGTACTCTATAGACTACATCACCTGTACGATATCCCTAAACACAGTCTGGTTTAGTTTTGAACAACTAAGGGTAAATCTAGCTCTATGAAGGCAATACTTGCCACCACTGATGAAGGCATCCTTGAAAAGATGGGCTTAATAGTCTTGGAGTCTGATTACAGCTTCCAGAGTTGACAAGAGCCCCATGTGCAGATGTCAGCGAGCAAGGTGATAAAGTGCCTCCTAAGGAAAACAAGTCACCACAGTTGGGGCGGGGAGCAGGCATTTCACTGGGACTTGCTCAACAGGTCCAGCGTAGAACAGTGGGAGCCAGATAGACGAGGACCCGACTGCTCTCCGATTACAAAGGCAGCGAATACCTTGGTCGTGACAGTCTCCATCACCGGTGTCTTTAGTCCCACACCTCCACCCTCTACTGGCAGCTCACTGGTTATGGTGTCTGGCTGTTATCCTGGGGAGTTCCCTTCTCCCTCCTGGCTTGAATTGCCTATTTGCTCACCTTGGGAAGCACATCCTCTAGTAATTCTTGAGGTAGGTTACTTGGGATGTGTAACTTTAAAACCTTGGCACGTCTGGAAATTATTCTGCCTCCATACTTGATGGATGGTGTGGCTGGGTATAACATTCTGGGCTGTAGATTATCTTCCCTCAGGAGTTTAAAGGATTTGTCCCATTTCCAGGTGCACTGTTTGGAACCTGAAACCGTTCTGATCCCTGATGCTTTGTATGTTACTTTTCTTCCCTCTGAGTTGGTAGAATGTCTAGTCTCCAGTGTTCTAAGATATAAATTATGACGATGTTTATTGTTGTAGATCTATTTTCATTCAACTAGGGGGCTCATGTCCTCTCACTTCTAGAAATGGTTAAAAATTATTTTATTTCCTTCCTTGTGTTTTCTCATTATCTCTCTTGAACCCCTGTTATTTGGAGTAGAACCTTCTGGATAGGTACTCTAACTTGCTTATGTTTCTCTCCCATTTCTGGGGCATTTTACTTTCCTTTCTGGGAGAGTTCCCTAATTTTATCTCCCAGCCTTCTATTGAGGTTTTAATGTCTCCTGTAAGTCTTTAATTTCCAAGAGGTTTAATTTTCCTTTAAATTGCTTTTTGTTTGTTTGGGGGGGGGCCTTATGTGCTAGGGACTTTCCTCAGATCTTTGGAGATTCATTTCTGTTCATGATTAAGATTGGGAGGAAGAGAACACTGGGAACTCGAAATGGATGAGTAGCGTTTGATGATTTTGAGCTTTATCAGCTGTCCTCACGGAATAGTTACATGCTCCCAGAGACTTGATTCAGCCGTGGGAGTGAGGGACTAGCCGGCAGGGTCCTGGGAGTCGAGCAGAGGCAGGGAGGTGTGTGGTGTTCTCTGCTGTCAGCGTCACTGTTCGTGAGATGAATCACTAGGTTGTGTGCATACATGTAAGTGTGTGTATGCGCATACAACTACACATACAGTTAATCCTCCTGAATCATGGAGCCCCTATTTGCAAATACGCTGATGGTGCTTTCTTGGTCATTCACAGACACGCAGTTAAAAGTTGATTGTCCTGACGTGCGCGTTCCCAGCTAAGACAGAACAAGGTGGTGCTCTGCCTTCTAGTTTCAGCTCATACTGTAAACAAGTGTCCTTTTCACAGTCTCCCGGGAAGCACATTTTTCTTGTGTTTGCACTTTTCTCTTGGTGATTTCACTGTTTAAAAGGGCCCCCAAGCACAGCGTTGAAGTTACCTAGTGTTTCTCAGCCCAGGAAGGCTGTGCTGTGCCTTATGGAGGAAACAGGTCTGTTAGATGAGCTTCATTCAGGCCCCGGTTACAGTGCTGGCCATGAGTTCAGTGTTACTGAATCAACAATTTTACTTAAATACGGTGTATTTAAACAGCAATACATAAAACGAAGTATGTATGGATAGATCGATAACAATTTGTGGCCAGAGGCTCACAGGAACCTAATCCTGTGTTTTCCTTGGGGGTCTTTAGTCCAGTGTCTTCTCTCTCAGTGCAACCAGAGACTTTCTGGACTGTAACCACCAGAGATGCTGAGGATCAGCCACAGGTGCGTACATACCTACAACTCCCTCCCCACGCCTCCAGCTGGGCCTCGAGTTCACTCCTGCACAGGCCTCCTCTTAGCCCACTCCTGGAGAGTAGACTTACGCTGGAGTCGGGGAGGGCCAGCAGGCGTGCAGTGAGTGAGGCCATCTGGGAACCTTCTTTTGAGGAGATTGCACCCCGCTCCTCCGTGTGTTAGCAGTCTTGTCTCCCCCCTCACTGACCCCGTCTCAGTTCCACAGGCGCATGCTGTGCCAGGGCCCTGTGCCTTTGAAGGGCTCTGCAGTTGGAACCTGGGCGGTTCTCAGTTCTTCCTCCTGTCTGCCTGGGAAGTAGATTTTGACATACCTTTAAATCCTCCACGTTGGTTACCATGTCCATCAGCTTTCCAGATTCCAACTTTTTTTATTGTTGTCTTTCGTCCCTGTCCTTATGTTTCTCTATGTCCTTCTGTCTGTTTACTTTAGTATTCTGGGACTGTGGGAGCAAGCAAATATTGATGGGGTGTTCACCATGCTAACTCGTTTCTTTTTGTGTGTCATAACTCATGTTCCTGAGATAAGTTAATAAGTTGAGATCAGTACACCACCCTCTTTGCCATATGGCCTTGGAAGATGTCGAAATTGCAAATGTTTGCATGTTCTGGATTGTAAAGGATTTAAGAGTTCTTTGACTTGCTAACAAGGGAATGAGAAAACATCTTTCTTTTTCCTTCTCTCCCATGCCTTTATAAGGAAATGTGAATTAGTAGGTGTTTTCACAAAGCATTCTTCCAGCTCAGAAAGAGAATGTCTTGTCAGAAGTAGAATTTTTTTCCAATTTCATTACAGCCATAATCCTCTCCAAGCTTTTTATAAAATTTTTGAACTGAGATCCCAAATGCTTATTTTTCGCTCTTAGCATGCTAAACAAAACTGTTGATCACTTCCAGATCACTTTCTTTTCCTCATTTTAAAACTCTCTAAGATTATAAACCAATGTAGTAAAGTAATAGCTACTTTAAAAATCTCCTAAAACTCCAATTAGAGGCGGTAAAGATACAAACAGCTAAACTGATACTCTTTGTTTTAGAATCTCTTCTATCAACAGGGCTTTTTTTTTTTCAGAGTTCAACTTTTTATTGAACATGTTCCAAAAGTCAAAAAGACCGAAGCCCATGTGATCGGCAGACTCCTGACATTCTTCTGTCTTTGCTGGGGCAGCAGTCGCGCAGGGGGCCCTACCTCGCCGATGAGGCCCCCGGTGTTGACATTGGCCAGAGCCTTTGCAAACAAGCCTGGGCCGAAAGGTCCAACATTTACACCGGCGGCTTTAATGAGGGCATTGATCTTAGCCTCCGCCACAGTCACCTCATTGTCGTGCAGGACGAGGACCGAGTCTGTGCACATGAACTCCTGGCCTGAGGCCGCGCGGTGCGTGAGTGCTGGTCTCCTGACGAAGTGAGGGCCTCACCCCCGCACAGCCCTGGCTTCCTCCGAAGGCCCGGGCAGCGAGCGGGCAGCTGGGGACAGGGGCTCGATTTATTTTGAATCTTTTATTCTGATTTGTAAAAGAGTAATGAATCTTTGCAGAAAAATTGAAAATGTAGGAAAAAGAAATATCACTTTTATTCTTGCAACTCATAAGTCATTACTGCATATATATAAATAGAGAGAGAGATTTATGTAGTCTTTATTTTTAAATATAATGTATCATTAACATTTTCCATGTTATTCTCCCAAGACCATTTTTAATTACTACATTCTAATTTACTGGTTGGCGACCTTCTTTCATAAAGGCCAAGAAGTATAATTTTGACTTTGCAAGCCATATGGTCTACGTTACAACTCCTCAACTCTGCTATTGTAGTGTGAAGGCAGCACTACATATTATATAAACAAATCAATGGGCATGACTCTTTACCCATAAAAATTTATTTACAAAAACATGCAGCCCCAGATATGGACCATGGGCCACAATTTGTCAGCTCCTAGATATTTTTGAAAACTTTTCATTTTGACATAATTATAGTTTACAAAGTTTCAAGATCATATGAGAGATTCTGTGCCTCCTTTACCCAGTTGCCCCCTAGTTACAGCTTAAATAACTACAGCACACCACCAAAGCCAAGAAATATGTGTGTGTTCCTGCACCCGTGCCGTTGTATACATGTGTGACCATTCCATCACCTGAAGGCCTTTGTCATGCTGCCATGTACAGTCACAGCCGCCTCCCTCCACCGTCACCCCTCCTTCTTGGTGATCACTCCATAATTTTGTCATTTTGAGAATGTTATCCCAGTGACTCACGCAGCACGTGACCTTGAGAGGCTGACTTCTTTTGCTCCGTATTGAGATTCATCCAGGTCGTTGCATGCATCAACAGTTTTTCTTCCGACTGATGAGTAATATTCCAGGGTGTGCATGTAACAGCTTATTCATCCTTCGAAGGATGTTTTGGCTATTTCGAAGAATTCTTTTCAGATTCCAGCGGTCGTCCATTCCTTGTGACTTAGCGTTATGTAACGAACACTGTGGCCCTCACTCGTCTGCGTACTTGGGCCAACGGACTGAGGCAGGCTTTCCCTTCTTTCCTCATAATCAAGCTTCCAAGTTGAATGTCATTCAGAATGTGCTGGTCCGTGTATTTCGGTGGTTCAGTTGAATCATGTGGTATCTGTTGTTATCTTCAATTCACCGAACTCTGTAAAACTCACTGATGTAAGTCAAAGGCTATTGTTTCTATCATTTGCTTTGCTGGTTAGCAGTGACATATATGGGGGTCCAGCACAAATAACGCCCCTTTTTTATTACAAATCCTGAGCATGTAATTCTGTAACATAACATCACACTAAAGCACACAATATGACATTTTAGGTGAAATGGTCAAATTAAAACTATAAATTATCACACCCATATTATTACCCTACCAAACACACTCAAGCAGGTGTTACTTCTGCCAGACCCTGTATCTATGGTGACAGTTGAGTAAGTAGTCTTAATACTTGTATCATGTTCAAGTGTCAGTGTAACCACTTATTACCTGTGGTCTCAGAGAAGTCACCTAACCTTGAACCTGTTTTCTTATGTAATAATGATAATTAATAATAAATACCAACCCTGTCTCCTCAGGATTACAGTGGTTAGCAAATGAGATTACATAGGAAAAGCATTTGGGGAACAGGAAAACAGTATAAAATGTTAAAGTAATATTTATACAATTAAATCTTCATTAGTATTTTAGACAAAGCAGCAGCTTTATAACTGGAATGAGTAGTTTTCATTAACAAGTAAGTATGTGGAGGAGTGGGATATCTTTGCTAAAAAAAAAAATTAAGGGCCTGTTTTACAGAGCTAGAAGGCCAGGAGAACAGAGAGGATGCGTGGTGTTTCTGTACACTGTAATGGATAACCTGTGTCGCAAATACAATACCATCTGGCAGACGTGAGAAGAGATCATTTAAATCAACAACGTGTGTGATGAGCTACCATCTGATTCCTGTTAATCAGGCCTTCCTTTTTTAAACGGTCTTCCCTTGGTTTCCATGACCCTGTTCTCTCCTGCTTCTCCTTCTGGCTTATCACCATCCTCTTCTTGGCCCTCGAAGACGGAGTTCCCTCGGGATCATCCCTGTGCTTCTCTTTCCATGACCTCTTCTCTGGCAGTATCGTGCCTTTACATCACTCTGCAAACAAAGCCTCCATCTGTGTCTTTAGCCCTGACCTCCCTGCTTTCCATCCTGCTGGCTGGCTGACTCTTTTTCAAACTCAGTATTTCCAAAGCTGAGGTCATTTTTCTAACTAAGATGGCCCTATTTTTCAAATGCTCTCTTTCTGTCTACAGCTCTACCATCTTCTCGCTCTCAGGGCTTCCTCTCTCTGCCACCACCCAACTCCCCTCAAGTGTAGCCATGCTGTGGATTCTTCGCCCTCAGTGACTTCTGTTTCCTCTTTCCTTTACATCTCAGGCCGACAACTTTAGCTTCTTAACTAAAATCCTGTCTTTCCTTCCCACCAACCATTCATCTCTCCTCCCTTCTGCCACATGAATCTTCTACAGTTCACGTTCTTCCCACTCAGTGGTTTCTTTTTTTTTTTTTCCAGTCCTCACCTGAGCATATGATTATTGATTTTAGAGAGAGAGGAATCGGCTAAACTCCCTTACATGCCCCAGCTGGGGATTGAACCCACAACCAAAATGTGTGCCCTGACCAGGGATCGAACCCGCAGTCTTTTGGTGTACGGGACAACGCTCCAACCAACTGAACCACCTGGCCAGGGTCCTAGTCAATGTTCTTGATTGCTCCCCTTGTTTATAGAAAAAAAAAAGCCCATATTTTTACTCTATTATAAAATCTCCGTGATCAAACTGCTTTTTAAATCCTTATTTACTCAACTCCAGATGAACAGAAAGGAAGTAATATGAAGCGAAACTTTTTTTCTTTCAGAATTCCATAATGTTTTCTTTTTCTCGTGACACTTTTCTAACTTCACTTAATTTATGTGCATACTTTCCTTTTCCATGCTGGACCCACGTATGGTTTCTTTCAATATCCGCACAGAGTTGCATGGAGCAGATATTTATTGAATGAACGATCAGTCCTGTGGTAGAAACTCAACTCTCCTTTGGCCCAGACATTCGGCAAATAGTCACTGAGCACTTTGCTGCGGGTCAGGTTCTCCAAGGCACTGGGACACGGTTTCAGCCTTTTTGCGTTGAGTTTACCTTTTGCATTGAGTTTACCTTTGCATTGCACGGTTTTCCTTTTGCATTGAGTTTATTCCTCATTTAACTTTTAAAATACTTCTATGGTTAAATATTAAAATAAAAACTATAGCTAGTAGTAATCATATTATGATTGCAATCCTTCACTCATCGACCATTGCATATAAAACACCAGTAGTGAATATTATTCAGTGCCCCCCATCAGGAGGTCAGACCCCGAACCTGACCCCAGGATGACGTTCATCATTCTCATAGGTTTCTTCGTGGTAATGACACCTCTTTCCTGACTCCGATGAAAATCTGCTGGTCCTGCTCTGCAGCAGTGTGGATCAGTTGGTTGCACTGTTGACCTGCACACCAAAAGGTTGTGGCTTTGATTCCCAGTCCATGCACATACCTAGGTTGAGGGTTCAATCCCTGGTTAGGGTACATATGTGAGGCAACCGATCAGTGTTTTTCTCTCTCACTCTCTCATCAATAGAAACATATCCTCAGGTGAGGATTAAAAAAGAAAGTCTACCAGTTCTACTTGGTCCATTTCATCTGTCTCTCCTACTTCCTTCTTTACAAGTAGAAGTTTTTTTTCCAGCAAAGAGAGTTTATTGGGAGAGAGAGAGCCATTCTCAGGAAAGTTGACCTTGAATTTCATGATTAGGTGACCTTTTCATGTGGTCTCTGATAAATGGGCATGTCCTTCATTGAGCAAACACATGCGCCTTCCATTCTAGTAGCGACCCCCAGGACACCACCACTGGATTATTCATGACTTCATACTAAGGTATTAACTTTGTACTTAGGTCTAAAGCAAAGCTACCAGGCACTTTTTTTTTGAGACTATATTAAATGTTAAGCAATTATAACTATATACTGGTGACCTGCAGGATATGGAATTTACCTGTTTAGTGACGTGAGAGAAAAACACAGGTGAGTTTACAGAGGATCTTTCTAAGAGAAGGAAGTAGTTGGTAGGGAGGGAGGGAAAAAAAAAGAGTGAGGATATCAAGCTATTGAGGTCTCCAGTTAGTTATTTCTTCTCAGGCAGGCAATTCCATGAAACTAACATAATGTGCTCTTGGATCTTATACAGATGGCAATCAGGAATTATTTCCCTGTGAAGTCTGTGGAAGACGCTTTGCAGCAGATGTTCTGGTAAACATAAAGACATTTTGTAGATGTGTTTCATTGGAGTTAAATGAACTGTCAAGTTAGTGAGGAGGCCGCAGTGGCAGAGATTAAAGACAGATGTGGAGGGGAAGCCAGGGAAGAGCCGCACACAACCTACGGCTGGCAGCCCGGGAGGACACCAGGGCTGCCCCGTGCTGCCCCGTGCGAAGACGAGCTCCCTAAACTTGGTCCTCAAACTGAAAGAATGCCAGGTGAAAGCCTCTTGGCACAGCTGATTGTCTCTTGAGAGCTTTTGGCTCTTTCCCCTTTTCTATAAGCATCAGAAATCCAAATTTTAAGTCCAAAGCACCAGGGAAATTAGCTAGTCGAGAGGAATGAACATTGAATTTAGAGCATCTGGAAACTTGGCTTTTAGCCTCAAATTTGTCACTAATTCTGACAAGTCCTTTAACCTCCCTCTGTTTCCTGCTTTGCCACGTATACAGACAGAACCCTCCAATTTCAGGGGTTTTGTATAATTTGAACAAAATGGATGTGAGGCCTTTTCCAAGATTTAATTGTTAAACTAATTTTAAGCTAACTGCATATCATGTTTCCTGATTGATGCCTATGAAGTGGAATAAAGCTTGGTTTATCTCAAAGTCAGGGAATGAAACAGGTATTAGACCCCCATATTATACAAATATTTCCAAGAAAAAATGGTTTTAAAAATAGTGACTGCAGTTGTTGGTCAGGACATTGTAGATTAAGGAGACATGCATGGAACTACAAGGATTTGGGTGTAGACCTCACTACAGTTGAGGCAAAAGACCACAAAATGAGGTGGTAGGTTTTATTTCTCTGGGGCATTCCCCAAACAAAGTGCCTGTTCTTTTTAGTTGACTGCAGCTAGAGCTTCCCGAATCTAGAAGGGAAGCTCTCAGGGCCTTGGTGGCCTGGCGTCCCCCAGAGCGCTGCCATTGCCTGCACCAGCCCAGGCCTCGCACCCCAGGGGAAAAGGTTGGAGAACTGCATGGTACCCTTTGAAGAGGGATCACTGAAGGTCAAGTACATCTGGGTTCCTCTTGAGTTTTATTTTCTAGTCCTCTCTCTGGGCTACAGAGAGCATCCGATCAATTGATCTGATATCTCTCTTTTCTTTCGTTTGAAAAGGCATGGCTTGTTTGTAGACAGGTGTGGTGATTTTCAGACAGATTGTATTTTGTTGCATCTGGACAAAGCAACTATGTAAGTGATAGCTTTTATGAGTGACCTATCCACCAAGGAAGAGGACTTAGAGTAGAAGGCAAAGATGTTGGTATAATCTCATGGGGTGCAGTAACAGACCTTGTAAAGTTGGTACATGGGCAGACGTCTATGTGCTGATTCCCTGGTTTTGTACCAGAAATGCCAAGGACTCCTAGTTGGAATACAGAATGCTTTCCCTGCCGAACGTCTTGCAAGTATTGTCATATTTTAAAATTGAATATGATAAGCTTAGATTTGTTCTGAAATAAATGACTCCACGAGTCACGTAGAATGTTTGGGTAAATTCAAGGAAAATGTCTTTATAACTTAAGTGGAATTGGTGTGTTCTTCATTTATTTTATGGTTGTTCCAGTTGTCTCTTGCAAATGTTCTCAACTATTTCTTTGAAACTACTCTGCTCCTGTTCAGGAGTTAAGTGGTTTAATTCGCCATATGTAGAAAAATAGCCCATTTAAACTGATTTTGAAATGCTGAGTGGTAAGAAGTGTTTTTCTGAGAAGGTTCTATTGGTAGAAAGCTACGTTTCCCCTTGCTGGGTGCAAAGAGCTGTTTTTCGAAGAATGGTAAAACTCAAAATGCAGGCTGTTGGGACTCAGATGTCCTGTTATATTACTGGATGACTTGCTTTTGAAACTTAGTAACAGCGAAGGCAGGAAACAGAATAGAAGAAGTAGTCAACACAACTTCATCGGTTTCGGTGAGTAACTAGAGACAGCTCAACTATCAGAAATATTTATTTCGGTTTCAGCTACAGAGTTTGTCTTTTCAATATTATTTAATGCTCAGAACCATCCATACAGCCCAAGTGGTAGAGTTAAATGTTTAAAACCAAATTTGAAGTAAGTCTCTCTAGCTCTAGAGACCTTTGATTGACCTTGACCAAACATAATATCTAGTTATGTGTAACATGGGTGAGGGGAGCCAGATGGATTTGCTCTGCTGTGATTTGAGAGTTGGAGAATGAACTTGGCTCTGAGGGTGCAACTCAGTCACTGTAGTGGGAGCCGCCTGAGCACACTGCAGCATTACAAACTTTGTGATTGCACATTTAAAAAAAATTTAATCACTGCTTTCTTTTCTAGGAAAGGCATGGACCAATATGTAAAAAACTCTTCAACAAAAAGCGTAAACCTTTCAATTCCTTGAAACAAAGATTACAGGGCACTGACATTTTCACTGTGAGGACAACTCCTCAATCCAAGGTATTATCAGTATCTTTCTTACTGTCCTTGATTACATCCGTGGGTACATTAAAGCCTTTTTCTGGCTCTCTGCTTTCATTTTTGCTTGATAGAGCGGTGCGATGTCATGTAAGTATAATCCACCTTTACTGTTTTCTTTTTAATCATGCTCACTAAGACTTCCAAATGTACTTCAGATACTTTCCAGATGTGGCCAAAAGGAATCTCGTTTATACTTTCATTAGAGTAGCATTAAATCTAGCAATTAACTCAGAAGAAAGTCACTTTTAATCTTACATTTAAATCCTCCTTTAAATTTTTGTAGTTTCTTTCCTCTTCTGATCGTTTTGTGTTTTCCTTCACTACTGTGATAGTGATTTTTATGACTGTGTGTTCCAAACCTCTTTTAGTACTTTTAAAAAAACAAATTCTACTTTCCTTTCCAAATTTTCACAGTCCTGTTTCCTGTAAATTCAAATCCCAGCTGCAAAAAATAAAAAAGAAATAAAAAAGAAATTCTAATGCAGAGATAGTATAGTTTAGTGTATGTTGGTTTTATTTTATTTTGTTAACAGCCTCAGCCCGTGAGGAAAGCTAACTGGAGGCAACAACACGAGGACTTCATGAACGCGATCCGGTCAGCAAAGCAGTGTTCCCTGGCCATCAAGGAGGGCCGGCCTCTCCCACCTCCTCCGCCTCCGTCCGTCAACCCAGGTGTGTGGCCTGTTCGGTTTGCTTTTGACCTTCTCAACCGATGGAGGCCGTGCTTGAATTTTGGCCAAACTATCACTCCTCCTTTGCACTCTGAAATGAACAACATCAATTAAATTACAAAAAAGTAATTGTACCATACAATTTAAGTGATCCTATTCATCTTTCAGTTCTGCCTAGAGATTCTGCATTTCCTTCTAACCCTGTCTCAGTGCGAGAACAACACTGCGTCATGGCCTTAGAGGACGGTGGGGCACGCCGCTCACACCCCCTTCAGTGCCACTGGAGCTGCGCTGCGCCGCGCCACCACAGCAGTTCTGTGACAGCTCCCTGGGGTCGGGCACCCACGGCTCTTTTTATGTTTATTTTTTGAGATAAAATTCCCGTAACATAAACTTCGCCGTTTTAACCACTTTCAGTTGTATAATTTAGTGGTCCACAGCTTTTTTACCCTAAACTTATTATTTAATAGTAAGTTTCAAAATTTGTAACATGAAATATTTCAGTATACATTTGTTAAGTTTAAGTACATTTTCCTGCATAACCACAGTACCATTGTTGCACTTAACATATAGATTCATATTTTCCCGATTATCTTAAGAATGTCTTTAAAGCTCTCTCCTCTTCCCCTAGCCACAGTGCAAGATCAATCAAGGTTTATGCATTGCTTTTTGTTGTCCATTTAGCCTCTTTTAATCCTGCACAACGCCCCTCCCAGGCCAATTATATTTTAGAATTTCTCATGTTCTAGGTTTGTCTATGTTTTTTTTGTCATATTAGTGTTTAACTTGTTCTTCTATTCCCCATCTTTCTGTAAATTGGAAATGAAAGCTAGAGACCTGATTAGATGAATATTAGTATTAATACCTTATCAGGTACAGGATTTTCCAACATTTTCTCCCCTTTGGTAAACTGTGTTTTCACTCTCCCGATGATATCTTTTGATACCATCCTTTCCCTCATGTGTCTTCTAACAGTTTTAAAATTTTAGCTCTTACACTTAGGTCTGTGATCAGGTTGAGTTAATTTTTGTATGTGGTATCAAGTAAGATCTGAGCTTCCTTAAAAGTTGCATATCTAGCATTACATGTGATTATTTAGTTTTTTTAGCACCACTTGTCAAAAAGACTATTCTTTTCTCATTGAATGATCTTGGCCCCTTTATCAAAAGTCAAGTGATCATATATGAAAAGGTTTGCTTCTGGGCTGTCGAGGCTGTTCCATTTGTCTGTACATCTGCCTCTCCTATGCCAGTTCCACACCGTTTTCATCAGTATAGGTTTATAGTAAGTTTTAAACACAGGAAGTGTGAGTTCCCTAAGACTGTTTCAGCTATTTGGGGAACTTTGAGATTCCATATGAATTTTTAGATTTTTTTTAATTTCTAAAAATGCCATTGGAGTTTCGATAAGGATTACCCTGTTTAGGTACTGCTGTCCTCTCAACAATATTGTCATATAATCCATGCACATGCAATGTCTTTCCATTTATTTATGTTTGCTTTCATTTTAGTGATTTCAGTGCATGAGTCTTTCACACCCTTGGTTAAATTTATTTCTAAGTGTTTTATTCTTTTTGATGTTATTGTAAATGGAATTGTTAGCTTTCTTTTCAGATTGCTCATTGCTAATGTATAGAAATACAATTGATTTTTATGTATTGTCTGATTTTGTATACTGCAAGTTTGCTGAATTTTGCTTATTAGCTCTAACAGTTGTTGTTTTTTGCTGTGGAATCTTTAGGGTTTTCTACATATAAGATTATGTCATTTGTGAACAGAGATAATTTTACTTCTTTCTCTCCAATTTGTATGCCTTTTATTTCTTGTGTCTAAACCTTATGGCTAGGACTTCCAACACTATGTTGAATAGCACCGGCAAAAGTAGACATCCTTTTCTTGTTTCCCATTGAATATAATGTTAACTGGGGGTTATAATTGACTATTCGCACATAAATAATAGCATATTGAGTGAATCATAACATGTGAAAATGAAATGTATGAAACCAATGGGGCAAGGTTGAAGAAAATGGACATTGGTTTATCCAGAGAGTATCCATCCATGTATGATGAAAAATAGAGACATTTATTGAAGAAGATACAAGATACAAGAAAAATTGTATATGGGACACTGATGCTTCCTTCAGTCCCCTTCAAAGCAGGCACCTTGGGACCTCACATCCAATTACCTGAGGAAACCTGGTTCATCGGTGGTGGTTTGAATCAAGTCACTGACAATTGCCGTGCCATGTTCCTTCTGCTCCGGTAGCAGAAGCCATGGAACAACTTTTTCTACACACGTTTCATTCCAAGATCCTGCATCAAAATCTCAGACATAGCAGTTTTGGGAATCCCCAGATCAGCTTCGTACATGTTCAACATTCTCAGGCGTTCTGCTTGTTGCAGGCCTTCCAGAACGAGGATCACTTTCAACAGATTTTTGACCATCTTTGAAGTGTTTGTGCTACACTTTTACTTGAACTTCACTCATTACACCATCCCTGAAAGCCTTCTGACTCATCCAAATAGTTTCCGAGGAGGGATATTCAAACTTAACGCAAAATTTGGTGCAGATTTGTTGCTCTACTCGCTCAGTCATTTTGAATATGATGGCCACACAGTGCACATGTTCACTCAATGGCATCTACCACCCCCACTGACTAGTACAGTACAGTCATCATTATGGTTCACACATGTGTATTCCAGTCTTCTCTCCTTGGCTGCCAGGTTATATCGATGTCACACAAACTGTTCTCATTGTATTAAAAATGGCTGTACTTTTTCCAGACAGACCTTGTATGTTGTTGAAAGGTTCACATTATACATAGTATTACTTGAAGGTAATTGTACTTGAAGGTATATTGTAAAGATGCCTATTATAAATTCTAAACACCCCAAAATACTAATATATAGCTAGTAAGACAATATATAGAGTGGATATAAAATGAAAAAAAAACCTTCAAAAAAGAAGACAGGAAAATAGGAAAAAAGGAACAATGAACAGATGGGATAACGAAAAACAGCGAGATGGTAGACTTAAATCTAATTATATGGACAGTTACATAGAAACAACTTAGAACTTCAGAAGAAAAGTGGAGATTGTCCAACTGAATAATAAAGCAAGGTCCAATTATATGCTTCTACAAGAAACACAGTTAAAATATAAAGACACAAACAAGTGGGCCACGCAAGTGACAGAACGAATTGGTGGTCCCATGGGCCAGAAGAGGCATGGCCCTGGCTGTGGGACTGCTGGTTGGGAACTCAGTATTCTACCATCTTTGAGTTGGAATCTCAGGTTAGAAGTCAGATGGTGGTATTCTTGAAGAAGTGAGGAGGACCAGGAGGGGACACACAAGGGGGTGTTAGGGATATTCTCTCTTGATCCGGATCAGTTACACGGGTGTGTACACTTTGTGAATATTTCACAGAGCCATACACTTTTTGATGCGTGCCTCTCCTCTTAGATAAAAAGAAAAAAAGAGAAATAAACACCTGAAATGTCAAAACTACTGTGGGCTGGCGTGTTTAAAGCATGGGAAAAGATATACATCAAATAATAATCATAAAACTGTATGGCTAATATTAATATCAGGTAAAGTAAACTTCAGGGCAAGTATTATTAGTAGAGACAGTGATTGAAAGATATATTCCTCAAGAAGACCATCAGTTCTAAATGTTTATGTACCTAGTAACAGAGTTTCAAAGAACATGAAACAAAACTGGCAAAACCAGAAGGAGAAGCAAAAAAATGTACAATTATGGAGTTTATCATTGATCTCTTAGTAACTGATGAGATAAGCAGCAGGAAAATCTAGGGATATAAAAAACCTGAACAACAGTATCAACCAGTTTCACCTACTTGACATCTATAACTATAATGTGACACACAGCAAGAGCAGAGCATAGTTTTCCTGAAGTACATACAGAGCATTCCCCCATAGACCGTGTGCAGGACCACAAAGTGGGCCTACCAGGATTGAAAGAAGTTGACAGAAGCCAGAGGGGGGTGGGGAGAGTGAAAACGGGAAAAGAAGGGCAAGGACCTAGCTAAAGAACATGTATAAAGGACCCATGGGCTTAGACACCAGGGTGGGGGTTGGCTGAGGGATTGGGGGCGGGGGGAGGGGTGGGCAGTGGAGATGAATGGGAACGGAAATTAAGATGACTGTAACTGAACAATAAAAAATAAAAAATATAAAGGAATTCGATCTAAAAGGCTAAAATCATACTGACTGTGTTATTTGCCCACATTAGAATAAGAAACGGGCTGGGGGGCATGGACAGCAGTGTGGCGACTGAGGAGGGAGAGGGCAGGAGGGGGCTGGACGGGGATGGAAAGGGTACCATAAAAATAAAGAAAAGAGCAGAGAAAGTAATGATGAAAACCTATCTAGAAAATTCCAGAATATCTGGAAATTAACAACTCACTTCTAAATAACCCATGGATCAAAGAAGAAATCACTGGAATAATTAGAAAATATTTTGAACTGAATGGTAATAAAAACAGCAAAATCTGTGGGATTTGGCTAAAGCAGTGACTAGAAGGAATTTTATAGCTTTAAGTGCTTATATTAGAAAAGTAAAAAGGTTTAAATCAATTACCTTAAATTTTCCCTTTAAAAAGGTAAAAAAAAGAAAAAGAAGAATAAATTACACCTAAATAAACTAGAAGAAAGAATATAGTTTTAAGAAGAGGAAAAAAATAGTTTCCTATTGGCAAAGGTGTCAGACAAGGGTGCATTTTATCTCCCTGTTTGATTGCTCTGTGTACAGGGCATACATAAAACATTGGGCTAGGCTCAGAAGGAGTGGAAATCGGTGGAAGGTATAGATATCAATAACTTAAGATATGCGGATGATACCATCTGACTGGCAGAAAGCAATAATGATTGGAAACAACTGCTGATGAAAGTGGAAGAAGTGCCAGAGCAGGATTGCACTCAAACATCAAGAAGACAAAAATCATGACCACAGAAGAAATGCACAGCTCTCATGAAGACAT